CCCAAACCGAAGATGAGAAGCCTTTCAACAAAGAGGAGGCTAAGGCGAAGGTTCTTCGCGAGATTGTGGTGAATATGAAGTGTCTTCATATTGCCCTCTGCATGCTGCAGAATGTCGAAGGAAGTCTTCAGGCCAATATGAACTTAGTAACCATGTTGAATAACCTGGTTGTCCCTGCCGTACGAAGTCACGAGGCTCCGATTCGTGAGAGGGGTCTCGAGTGCCTGGGACTTTGTTGCTTGCTGGACAAGGTAAGTTTTTCTTTCTGCATACCTGCGATAAACCTAGCTAATAAGTGCATGCAGACCCTGGCGGAAGAGAACATGACTCTGTTTATTCACTGTTACAGCAAAGGGCACGAACTGCTGCAAGTCACTGCCATCCACATCCTTTGCGACATGCTGGCTACGCATCCCACCTTGCTCACGCCCGTGACTCAAGCCGATGGAGAGACGGTAACACCGCCGGTCTTCCAAAAGCCGTTGCTGAAAGTCTTTGCCAGGGCATTGAAGTCCAGCTCCCCGAACAGCGTGCAGACGGCCGCCGCTACTGCCCTTTCCAAATTACTACTTACAAGCGCTTTCAACCCCGGCGGAGCCAATGTGTCGCCGGCCATTCAGGAGTACAACCAGGCTGCTATCGAGACACTTCTGCAGTCACTTGTTGTTTCCTTCTTCCACCCGCGCACGCGTGATAACCCAGCACTTCGACAGGCCCTGGCCTATTTCTTCCCCGTATACTGCCATTCTCGACTGGAAAACGCACAGTACATGCGCAGAGTGGCCGTGCCGGTCGTTCGGGCGACATTGAACGTCGCCGAAGAGTACTACTCGCTGGAAGCTGAGGAAGACAGCGATGGCGATATTGACGAGACAGTCGGACAAAGAGAGCTGAAGGCCCTCATGAGCGGTGTCCTGGGCATGTTGGCGGAATGGACCGATGAGCGGAGAGTCATTGGTTTGGGTGGAGAGAAGGTCCTTGCGGGCCAACCGACTAGCTCGACGGCATGTGGCTTCCTTCATCTGGAGCTGGTGAAGGATATCCTCGAGCGAGTGCTGGGGATCAGCACAGGCACCAATCGCTGCTCGAAGGAAGAGAAGAAGCTTCTCTTCTCCCTTCTCAGCAAACTCTACATTACAGCACCTGTGGTTCCCTCACGCTCGGGATCTCGTGCTCCCGAAGGCGAGGACCCATTGCGTTCCAGCGTGCGCAGCGCACAGCCGGAGATCTCTTCCGAGAACGCTGCCCTCGCTCAGGAAGTCAAGGAGCTGTTGGACGAGACGATCGAAGAGGGGCTGGCTGCCGAAGCCGCCAGCCGCAATGCCCTGGTCAAGGTGAAGAACTCGATACTCAAGCTATTAGCGGCTGCCAATGGTCGTCCTGCCAGTGTGAGGATGCGAGAAGGCGACGAAGGCGACAGCGATGTCATGAGCGTGCGATCGATGAGCGTGCGGTCCGGCAGCGTGCGGCCCTCGATCGAGCCGGGGGCGATGCGTCGAGGATTCTCGGTTGAGCCGAGCATCATTGAGGAGGAAGACGAGAACGAGGACAGTCACACGACGGTGATCAAGGCGGAAATTCGCGAGGAGTAATTTGTTGATTTCTGGTCTGGTTGGATTGGCGTTCTCGGATTTGCGTCGGCGGGGGGGCGGTTCCTTGGCTGGGTATCAGCATGCTGATGGAATTTATCATTTGTACTTAAGTGTTTCTCTTCTTTTTTCCTATTTCTATTTTTTTTTTTCGGTGACGAGTGTAAATAATGTAATGTTTGAACAGTGAAAATATTTCAGGTGACCTTTTTGGTTCTCTACTTGTTTATATGAGTTTCTGAATTGCGGGTGAAGCGGATAGTCTTATCCCGGATATGCTGGGAGCAGTGATCCTGAAAGCTCTGGTGAGTTGGTGGCCCATTCATCTCACAGTCCCTAAATTTGCTTGTGTCCGCCAGCGTCGGAAGTAATGTAAGCAAAGACCAAAGACCGCATGGCCCGGTCTCGAATTTCAAGACTGGGACCGGACCATTCCTAGGCCTGATTTTATATGTGATATGTAGGTGGCCGGCTATGTAAGCCAGCCGGCCAGCTTAACGATTATGTTACGCACCGATCGCTCACTAAACCCTTGAGCCTGAGACCCTGAGAAGGTCTTAGGGTGGCGCGAGACTTGGTCGATGTCAGGTAATTTCGAGCCGAGAACCTCCGACAGCCGTTCGCTACTTTATATTAATATATAGACCCTGTACTATCTTCTTGGTCTCTTACTAGTACATAATAGTATAGTATCTCATTTCCTTACCCTAGTGATGACACCTGCTCGAAAGGTGGAAGATGCTTTGATTCTCACTACGTGAGGCTAGCTGTTGAACTAGAACTAGCTCAGAAGAACCTAGGCGAGGCCGCAGGACCGCCGTCACCTATAACTTCCACATGTAATAAACATACCGGAGCGCAGCCGGAGTTCCATCTTGGCATCCTTGAAGGCTCCTAATATCCAACTACACGATGGCTATACAGGCTCGAGAAACGAGGATGAATGTAACCTTTCAAGATATTGATTGCCTTGTCTCGCCCCAGTGTGTGTGAGCGAAGGTATTTTGCTCCCGATATTGAGGGTATCCAGTAGCAACCAATACCCTACGGTAGCAAGACTAGGCGCCTCGTTTGCGCGGTCGCGGCGGCTCCCCTATTTGCACGTTTGTGCCGTCGTGAGTATTAAGCCGGTGAGAATTCTCAATTCTGCGGTACAGTGCAGTACTTTATACACATTTTTAATCAATTGGCCCGTCTACTCGCCGAGCGTTTACGAACCCACTATGCCTAGCCTACCGCCGCGACATTTGACTATTATCATGGTTTGAATGCTAGGCATCACTCTAACTGAGATTTACCTGAACCGTCAGGCTTTGAGTGAGTACGGAAATGGATAATTGTTTCATGGTTCGTAATAGACAACGAGAGGGTACAAGCAGGGATGTATAGCGCCCGATGTGTTGTTCGGTCTGTGTATATATACTTATTTTGCTTCTACCTATGCAGGATAAGCTTGGACGCGCGAACTCCTCCCGTCGAGGTAGCTATGATGCTGCGTGCTAAAGAGTTCTGGGACGAGAAAGAATTGCTAGATGGATCATACTAACCTCTTCTCCATGCACTTAGGATTTGGGACCAGGTTCAAACTCAATGTTTGTTAAGAGCGCGTTTGAGGTCGGATCCCTGCTCAAATTCGCGAGAGGCATTAGTGGTGCTGCCTCATTGGTACCCAGATAGGAAAGGGAGAAAGAAACTGTGGACTTGGAAGACCCCCCAAGTGAAAAGAGACGGACGGGGCGAAGACCCCAGAGATCAAGAAGAAAGGCCAAGTAAAGTTACCAGACAGACAGGCGCAGAGCAGAGCACTGAAAGACCCAGTTGTAAAATGCCCATGTATAATTTAACGATAAGAACATTGAGCCTGCAAACTATTCCAATTACACTATTTCTCAAAGTCCCCCGTCCAACCACTGTGTCAACGACATGGCAAATAGACATGAATTGTCTTTATCTCCGAGCCTGGCGTCGACTCTAAAAGTCCACATACCGCTCTTCAAGAACATTGCAGGAATCTGAAAATCTAGCAACATGTCACTGCGGCCGCTACTGGGTAGGTAATCAATTTGAATACCATTAGAATCGCGAATAAGAAAGTGAGCTGCATCGTTGATGGAAACAGTCTTTAAAGGCATTGTAAGGGACCTTGGTTCCATGTAGCTACCATCTGCATAGACAACAGAGGCGCTCACAGAGAGTGTCGCATCGACGAGGCCCTTATCAAAGAGTCCTCGTTCCTTCATTTTGGATCCAGATAGACGACCGCGCAGGTAGACGAAAAAGACGCGGTCGCTGTAGGATGTCAGGACGTCATCATTTCGAGGCGGATATTAAGGGGGATCTTACGCGATAATAGGCGTCGGGGCAACCTCAAGGAACTCGACGCTCAATAGCTGGTCTTCCTTTGGCACGATATCGTATGTAGCATCGTTGTTGCCGGGAACTTTGTCTTCTTGGACCATAACGTCCACGCCGACGAGAGGCTTTTGCTGTACGGGTTTGGCGATGCTATAAATGACTAGTACAGCGACACAAAGACAGAGCCAGTGTGGGATATTCGACTTTATTATCTACCGGTGGTATAGATGACATTGAAAATGGCTTTTGGTGCGAGAGGGGGGAAGTGTTCAGGCAGCGATGAACAAATGCTGGCTTTATGATAAATGACTGCCCAGTAGGTTGAGTAGCTTCCGGTCCGGTCGAGACCTGGGTGTCCTAGGGTGTGTGGTCCGCGCCACGCGGCGCAGGAACATGAGCGCGCTACAGCAGGTAAAATTTGGTACCTTACCCTGTATACCTCAATGCTACGATAAGCCTTGGCAAGGCTCTAAGTAGGTGCCCAGAAATTGATAAAATTAATTCTTTCTCGTACGTACAAGCACGTGGATAATGGTTGTAGCCTTCGTATTGCCTCCTGAGTTGGGTTCCAAACTATAGCCTACTAGGTAGCCCACTAGGCTGGCTATAGATTCGGATTTTGGTCTAGTAGTTGTAGCTGTTATATCACCTTTCGAGTTGGCGGCGGACTTATTATACGCAAGAAAGGGTAAAGATTCAGATTTTAGTCTAGTGATTGTAAATTTCTGTTAATGGGGTTTAGGGTACCTAGTAGATATAAGAAATAGTCACCATCATCGCCATATCTCCAGAGGTGCCACTCCCGACTTCTTTTGTACTTGGGTTATTCAATAGCACCATGCATCTGAAGTGTCTCTATCTTTGGGGCTTCTTCGCCGTCCCAGGCCTGGCAGATGATATCAACTTTGTTAACTATTGGAGGCAATGACGCAGGGTTATCAAAGTAATTCTCCCCATGCGTTGCTCTACATAGTGTAAAACTCTTACTGACGTCTGACTAATGGAATTTTGAACGACTGCATTTACAGAGCGTGATCTCCAGAAGACTGCCAGACCATGCTCAATACCCTCCAGCAGGAGATTGACAACGGAAATCTTCGTGATAAAGTCAACTACGCGATGTATCAAGTAGCACATGCAGGGCGGGGGGCCGGCGGCGCGAGCCCCCCGGAAAGCTTCCAAGTGTTTGCTCTCGAGTATTTCACCTTCTTCGACGATGCCCTGAATCCCATATGCAACAATTATACTTGGGCATATTTTCCATCATGGATGACCGACCAGCCACCCCTCACCCAGGAGCTCCGTCAGCAGCTCAATGATATGACCCGCAAGGTTAACGCGGTCATCAAACCGGCAGCTCAAGATCTTCAGAGAATGGGCGTCATATATGTGGACGGTCTCCAAGATGCTTACAACGGCCACCGCTTCTGCGAACCAGGGGCCACCAAAGAGCAGACGGAATACATTGTGTGGTTCTGGTCGCAATACAGCCATTTCGACACGCCCTCTGAAGGCCGCGCTGAGGATGACGTCGAGGCCACCATACGACCACCCTTTCCGGTACTCCGTTCGTTCCATCCTAAGGGCACGGCATATGCAGAGCACGCCACGGCGCTGTTTGCCGCCATAGCGGATAACAGAGCAGCGATTGCAACTGGCGGCGAAGGGCAGCAGATCGCGATTGCGGCGTATGTTAACCCCCCTTAGAGACCCGGTTTCGTGGGAACGAATCTTCGCATGCGACACCAAGAAGGTCAGCGTACTGATTGCTGATGTTTTGAACGGTCCAGATTATATGGTCGATACAGCCTGGAAATCGATGATTGATCAAGCTGCCAGTCAAGGCAAAAAGATCCTTGGCTATGTTCGGACTGGCTACCTTGGCGCAAGTCAACAGCAATTTACAATTCAACTAGGCTCGCATGACCTCGCAGACTGAGCTTCGCAAATTGAACAAGATGTTGACAAGTGGTCGAGCTATATGGCACCAGTCTCGGCGGTATCTCTTTTGATGAAGGCTGGCCAGAACGCAGTCGCAACAATATTTACGCAGATCTATACGCATACATCAATAATTATACGAAGCGGAAACACCCCGGCGTATATACAGTCCTCAATCCGGCTCATCAATCGCTCAATGCTTTGAAGACACTATGGATACGCTGTTGACATTCGAGAGCAGCTATGAGACTTGGATGAACTCGTTTGTACCTAATGATTGGATGCCAAAGGATCCGCGAAAGATATGGCATATCATCGACAAGGTACCACAGAATCAGACTGCAAGTGTTGCTGCCCTTGCGTCGAGCCGCAATGCAGGGTTGCTAGAAATTACCAATGATGATCAACCCAATCCCTACGATAATCTGCTCGACGAGGCTTACATACAAGTAGTTATCGGGGCCGTACCGGGTGGTAGGCCTTTTATTAATGGTCCGGTTAAAGTTATCAACTTCTACGTTGCTGGTCTTCCGAGTGATGTGGTTGTCTCTTCTACCGACTATAGCTCTGTTATCCTTATTTGGTCATCAGTTGCGGATGCTCTTAGCTATGCTGTGTATCAAAACGGTATACAGGTCCTAGAACTGCCACCTTATTAACCCAAGCTACCGTCGGCATGCTCGAGCCAGGAATATCTGGTATTGTCTTCGAGGTACGGTCGATTTCATCGTCAAACAGTGGAAGTAGCCAGCAGACGATTACAGCGAGCACGAAAAGCCTCCCGGAGGAGGGTACTATCGCCAATATGCGCTTTAAACGAATGGTAATACCGTGACCTACAAGGCCGATATCTTGGTCCTATACGCATTTGTGCAACTTTTCATCGGCATCAAACAACCCAGTTATAGCGGAGTCCATGGGTGGCCAGTTCATGTACCAGGTGTGGACGCTCAAGGTATCGCGTGGCATAAGATTGTCAACTACCTTATTAAAGGGAACGACGTTTACTTCGGCCTTTATGAATAAATACAGTAGCGCTTGGAACGATACTAGCAAAGCCAATGCGGATTGGACGTGGACCTCTATCGGAGAAGCAACTCAGTCTCAGGATGATTACACGTATACTAAGAGCGTTCCGCTCGCTGGTACTAATGCTGTAGCCAGCGAGTATGTGATACAGGGTTAAGGGTATGCCCCAATCAAGCATATATTCAAAGGGACCCTTTATTCCAACAGGGAATTGTGAAAGACCCGGAAGAAATTTATCTAAATGCATGAAGTAGCTAATGGACTTGCTACAGTAATGGGACTACTAGTAGCCAATACTAGTAGTTCTACCATTTGACCATGGATAATGGAAGAGTACCTACCGTACGGTAAGTATGGATGCAACTTTTCATGATTCGGAAGCGAGACCGGCGGGCGGTGGATCCGGGTAGCTTGTCAATTGGCTGATGCCGACGACTGTCTTTTGCTCTTTCTCTCTTTCTCTATCTCCTCTTAACTTCAATCAATGCCTTTCACTTCGATACCTTACACTGCAGTATTCAATGACAGTCATAGGGTCTGTCTGGACGAATCCGGCATCCTATATCGACATTGTGTGCTTTCAATTCTGTAGGGAAATGATATCCTCGAGTCGGATAAGCAGGCAGGCAGTAAGGCGTCAGTCAGGTTTACCCGCGTCCGTGGAAAGTCCCCGTGGGACAGAAGTACGATGGCTTCCGTAACTTAATCTTTTTTTTTTTTTTTTTGGCAATTCAACAGTTTTTTTTTTTTTCTGACAGTCGGTCAGTCTGCATGGGCAGGTTGATCGCCATTGGTTGGGTGTCCATAGCAGTGAATTCAAATTGTATCGACCTCAAGAGCTTAGGTAGGTAGGTACTAAGGTAGGTACGGAGCAGCGAGGATGTGAACGGTCTTCGGGGGTTATGGTGGTGAAGGCCGAAAGGATTGGTCATACAATCGATTATTATTCACTCACAGACAGAACTAGGGTGGTTTTCTAGGCAGAAAGAACCAAGACCCGACTGACTGACCCCCCCATCGATGTATCGACTAACTGACTGTTATAGGGGCCTTTCCCAGGAGACTCGATCTTGACATCCCGAGTCGACTAGTAAATAAGTTGACCTTGTAGAGCAGCACCATTGGAGTAAGAGAAATTGAATCCCTTATATTTGACTATCCCCATTCAATGGATTGCAACAATTCTCGACTTGACTTTGTAGTAGTGGTGGTGAAATAATGATTAGGGAGGAACTGGCGACCAGAGACCGAGGGAGTAGGTTTTCTTTTAATCTCGACGCTCCACCAAAAACGACATCCGGGCCTGGGGACTTTCTTTTTCCTTCTCTCTCTCCTCCTTCCTCGATCGCTCTCTCACTCTCACTCTTGCTCTCACTCTTACTCTCTCTCACTCTCTCTCTCTCTCTTCTTCTCCTCCTCTCCTCCTCCTTCCCTCCTCTCTCTTTCTCCCTCCTCCTCTTCCCGCCCGCGTGTCTTTTTTTCCCTTCCACGACGGTCATTTCTCCCCGAGTCGTGAAAATCGTGTCGCCTGCCGGTCCTTGCAGAGACACGTTTTTTTTTACCCTTTTCCTTCCCTTCTCCCCTTTCTCCGACCCGTCCGTGGTTCTTTCCCACACCCCCCCCCTCTCCACCACTTACCACCCCCTACTGCCCGCTCCGTTGGCGTGAGAGGCAGTGACCGACCCAACAACACCTTGAGCGATGGCCGCCGTATCAGCTCCCACTCCTAAGCTGGATCGCTACATTGTTATCCACGTCGCAACCACCTGCGATGAACATGGCGTCTACGTCACTAAGGATTCCGCCGAGGTGATTGAGTTGGGGTGGATCTTGTTGGATACCAAAACCTGCGAGGAGGTACGCATGAATCTTATTTGATTTTATCCCATCTCGCTCGAGTCTTTCTCGTCCAATTCCAGCCTTCTCGTTGCTGCGCCCCTCTTCGTTGGATTCCCCTCACTCTGATAACCCTTGCTCGATCGCTGCGTTGCTGCACCGTCCCTCAACCAACCCAATCCTACCGGTCTTTACTCGGACAAAACTAGTCTCCAATTCAACCATCATGTTTGCTGACTCGGCGTCTCCATTAGTTGCACCATGAGAGCGTACTCGTCAAGCCTGTCAACACCCCCATCACGCCTCTCTGTAGTAAGTCTACCCAATCAACTTCAGCCTTGTCCGCCAATTCCTCCTCCCCGTCAGCCTCGATTCCTTTCCCTTTCCCTTTCCCTGCCCTCTCGGATACATCGGTTCGTTGGTTCAATGGCTGACGTTTCTCGACAGCGAGCCTGACAACTTTAACATGGGAGCATGTTCGCTCCGCAGGTACATTCCGCGATGCTATCAGCCGCTTCGACGCCTTCGCCCAGGAACACCTCGTCAACAAGAATCTCGAATTCGCCTTCGTGACATTGGACTCGTGGGATCTCCGTGTTCAGCTGCCTCGTGAGGCCCGTGACAAGGCCGTCGTGCTCCCCGCATACCTCCAACACTCGCGGACGTTCGACCTCCGGACCGAGTATCAGCGATGGCAGACTCACCACCCGGAGTCTCTGCCCTTCGGCCCCAGCTCTCTCTCCAACATCTGCGCCGCTCTCGAAGTCGAACCCGTGCAGTCCTCCGCCCCCATCAAGCATAACCTCCCATTCCACTTGCAGGCTTTGGCCCCCGCATCGCCGCGGAGAGCTATGGAAGAAGCCATTACGCTGGCCCGGGTGCTCCGTGGCCTGATCCGGAAGTCTCAGCCTCCGCACGAACATCCCGAGATCTTGACTCGCCCTATGGACGCCAGGGCCGATGTCCGGGCGTTTTTGACCGAGCGCAGCAAGGTGCTCCACCTGAGCGGTCTACCCCACGATACTACGCAGTCGGAGCTGGAGAGTTGGTTTACCCAGTTCGGTGGACGTCCTATCGCTTTCTGGACTCTCCGCACTCCTGACCAGCACAAGCCCACCGGCACTGGATTTGCGGTCTTCTCGTCTCACGAAGAGGTAAGAATGGGAATTACGCACATGTCACACCGCTTGTCTAATCATCATTCCCCAGGCCGCTGAAAGTCTGTGCATGAACGGTCGTGCTCTCAACGAAAAAGCCATTGAGGTCTCTCCTTCCTCCAGCCGCGTTCTCGACCGTGCTGCTGAAATCCTGACGCCCTTCCCCCCCTCGAAGAACCGCCCCCGTCCTGGCGACTGGACCTGCCCTTCATGCGGTTTCTCCAACTTCCAGCGCCGCACCGCCTGTTTCCGCTGCTCCTTCCCCGCCATGGCCGCTGCCCCTGATCCGATGGGCTACGGTTACGGCTACGCTCCCCCTTCCATGATGCCTCCTCACATGGGCCACGGGGGTCACGGCATGGGCCACTCCCGCGGTATGGGCGGCAATGGTGGTGTGGTTCCATTCCGTGCTGGTGACTGGAAATGTGGATCCGAGGGTTGTGGTTACCACAACTTTGCTAAGAACATCAACTGTCTCCGTTGCGGTGCGCCTCGGTCTGGCGCTGCTGTCGTCGCCGACTCGGCTTTCCCCTCCCCAATGGACCCTCCCACTGGCTTCGGCATGGGTCCTAACTCCATGACGAGCACCCCCGCTCCCGGAGGCTTCACTGGATCGGCCGGTGGCTTCGGTGGCTTCAGCCAGCAGTTTGGTGCTCCCCCGAACAACTATGCCCTGCCCTCAGGCTTAAACAGCACCCCCAGCGGCTACGCTCCCATGGGCCAGATGAATGCCGGCTACGGTTCCTCGAACACCTCCCACTCCGCGGCTTCATTTTCTAACCCCGCCGCTCAGGCCGCTTTCACCGGTGCGGATCATACCACTTCCACGAGCGCGTCCAACGGCGCGTTCTATGGCAATGACGGTGCGAGCGACCCCTTTGCCTTTCTCTCCACCGGTCTTGGAGGATTGACTGTGGGCGAGGATGGCCACTCTCGTCGCAACGGAGCTGGTGCCAACAAGTCCCCGGCTTAAACGGCCCGGAGGCATTCATTTGTCATTTTCTTTTCTACGGTTGTTCCTCACGTTTTTTGTCCATATGAAGGTCTGGAATATGTTGGTATATGTGACGGTTGATATTCGTTGATGCGCATTTGTATAAGGAATTCTGCAGTTCTGGTGCATTCGGTTGGGAGGAGCAGGCCGGTAGCGTGTCGTCGTTTCAACGGGTTTGATCCTTTTTGTTTCGCCTGGTCTCGTTGCAGACCTTATCACAGACATTTTTTTCGGTATGTCTTACTATTTGCGCCATTGAAAGCGATGTTTGAGGATATAGAAGCCGGTCCTGGTAGGGTTGACGCTTCTGTCCACGGGAGTTTGCTGCGTCTTCATCGGCCGGGAGGCATTATATTTACCCCCCCAGAGATTCTCCGACGCTTTGGAATTCACGTGTGAAATCCGCTGGCACTTCGTGCGATTGTTTATTTCTGCTATGGGAAAACCTTCCGAGGTAGGCTTCGCCGGAGGTGGTGGCCGACTGGATGTGGATTGTGCTCGAGCATGGCATTGCATTCTAGATTTTGTCTTTCTTATTGGTTTTCCGCATTCATCTGCGCTCTTCGACAAGCGGGTTCATTGGAGAAACACAGGTATTGAATCACACGGGTTGGGATACAATGGAACGGACTCTCTTGGGGGTGTTGGGGTTGGGGTATTCCTTTTGAGTCAGCAAAATCTTCATTCAACCAGCGAAGGTCGATTGGGAGTCGTGACGTGCGACCAGAATGTTCTGAATGTCCATAATTGTCTTGTCATTTTATTGTTCTCTACATATTGATGATTTAAAAGTCTGCTCTATCGTTCGATTATCTGTGGTGACCTGTAGTACAGTGACCTGCAGTCTAGCGAGTCAGTAGGAATGATTCCAGGTCATGAAACTTATAAAAGATTGTTGTCACGAACATTGAGGGCTGCTGTGTTGATGCCGGCTCAGGCAACGGAGGTAAGCGTCATAGTCCGGCTAGCCGCGCGCCTAGCGCTTGGGAGCTCTGAAGGCAGCGGCGGGACTCGCGTCCACCTCCATCTGTCATCGCCCAGGCCGGAGACCCTCAGCCAGCTCTTTACGACCCCAGACCACTAATTGCATCTTTTCGCGATTCGTTTTTCTCCTTCTCCTCCATTATATCCGATAATCTTGCCTCCAGTGCTTGTTGCCCATCATGTCTGGCTACGATCGAGCTCTTTCAGGTAAGCCAGATCCGACCGAACCTAGCTTAGCTGAAGCTCCTACATCATCGACCCGAGGGGACTAGGAGCAAGTGAAGATGGATTGCTAATTAATAACAGTATTCAGGTATGGCGACTATGATACTACTTACCAGAACCGTGATTAACGATCGTCATCAGCCCTGACGGGCACGTCTTCCAGGTGGAATATGCCATGGAAGCTGTTAAGAGAGGTACGTACCTCCACCTCCTCCCCTCAGCCATTTCCTACGGCCAACACCTCAACCTCATCCTTCCGACATCCCCCCCCGCCCCACGGGCCCCTGTCTTTCACTCTGTACAGCATACTAACGCATGTTACCCAAACCGGACAGGTACCTGCGCCGTCGGCGTAAAAGGCAAGGACGTGGTTGTGCTCGGCTGCGAGAAGCGCTCGGCTCTCAAGCTCCAAGACACGCGGATCACCCCATCGAAGATCGCTATGGTCGATAACCACGCCGTGCTGGCGTTCGCCGGCCTGAACGCCGACGCCCGGATTCTGATCGACAAGGCCCGCCTGGAGGCCCAATCGCACCGCTTGACCGTCGAGGACCCCGTCACCATCGAATACATCACCAAGTACATCGCCGGGGTGCAGCAGCGGTACACGCAGAGTGGAGGTGTGCGGCCCTTCGGCATCAGTACGTTGGTGGTGGGCTTCGATCCCAACGACCGCACGCCGCGGCTGTACCAGACGGAGCCGTCGGGAATCTATTCGGCCTGGTATGTTTTTCTTTCTTTCTCTTTTCTTCTTGGTTTGCGTGGTGAACCGGCCATGGATGAGAAGGAAGTCAAACGGTCTTGGCTAATTATGTCCTGATGGATACAGGAAAGCCAACGCCATCGGCCGCTCCAGCAAGACCGTCCGCGAGTTCCTCGAACGCAACCACCAGGATGACATGGACCGCGAACAGACCATCCAGCTCACCATCAAGTCCCTGCTGGAGGTGGTGCAGACGGGCGCCAAGAACATCGAGGTCGCCATCATGGCGCCCGGCCAGGCGATCGAGATGCTGCCGGACGACCAGATCGAGGCGTACGTCAAGAGCATAGAGACGGAGAAGCAGGAGGAGGCCGCCAAGAAGAAGACGGCCCGCGGCGGGACTACGACGGCGGCGATCCTCACTCGCCCTGGCGGTGGTGAGACCGGCGAGTCGTCTTGATTTGGGAGAAATCTAGATGAGAGAGAATGAAAGACAATAACAATAGTGGTTTTACTTTATCCCCTCAGCGCTGTGCTATGTTCGAACCAATGAAATACTGTGTCATGAAAGGTCGATTGTTTCTTCCGGTAGTGTAGTCTATAAGGTTGGAAGGAAGTATGAACAAGACGAGAGAAGTATACAACCCACCCTCAACACCAATTCGAATTAAGATAAACAAACAGAAAGAAAGAAAAGAAATGTAGCATGAAATCGTAAATCTTCGTAAAAAAGGAGACCCCTGCTTTGCCTTGGGCCCAGACAGGCAGAAGCGAAATCTACTTCTAACCCAACCGATCCGAGATATCCTTGAAATTGAAGATAGATTTCTCCTGGTGCCCACGAACCCGATCATCTTTGAGCATTCTACGTGAAGCATTATGCGTTAGCTTAAATCCAATCAAGCTTTTTTTGTTTGGGTTGCTTCAGTCTTCCACCAATCCCCCTTCCCCCCTTTCCCCTCCATCTCATTTCCGACTGGAGTGGGGCCCAAAAAAAGCCACCTGCCCTCCTAAGGAAAGGAGGGAAAGGGGAAAAAAAGAAAGGGAGATTATAGGGTGGAGGGAAGACTGAACAACTGACAGCACGGAATAAGAGAAGGAAAATCATACCTCGAATCCACCCGCGCATCCTCGCCTTCCACGTGTAGCGTCGGCGTCGGCGTCACGGCCTCGATCACAAAGTGGTTGTCGCAGTGGGGACAGTATTCGTCACTGGGTTGCGAGGATATTCGTTAGAGTTACGTGTTTTCTTTTTTTTTTTTCCCACACCCGGTGATTTATGAAAGGACAGACACACCTCTCGTCGAATTCGGCGGTGTCCTTGCGGAAGCATTTTTTGCATTTTTTGCAGGCGAAGACCTGTTTTCCCCCAGTTGTTGTTAGTGTTTGGTTGGGTAGGGGGTTGAGGAGTGAGTGTTCGTGGTGGTGGTGGTGTGGGATTTGGGCGTGCTTTGTGCTTTGTGCTTTGTTTTGGGTACGAGGGATTGAGGGGACGTAGGGTGTAAGGTGTAGTGTGTGGTGTATGTATCGCCAACGGTGTAGAGGTGAGCACCAGGCGAGGAGGGGCTGTATGTACCATCTCACTGGCTTTCTGGAGGGGATGTCTTTCGGTCTCTTGGTGGCATTCGGCGCAATCGAACCATTTCTTGCCTGTTGATTTCCCATGGTTCCTTAGTTTCAGAGTCGGAATGAAGCAATGAGGGTGAGGCAGCGAGATGATCGGGCTTACAGCAAGGGGATCGGATTGCTACTTGAGCGTTGAGGACGTGTTTGCTATAGTCGGTCGAGAGATGAGGTTATTACTTGCGGTTGCGGGCTGCGGGCTGCGGGCCTGCGGGCTGCTTCCTTACCACATGGTTGTTCTGATTGTCGATGACCCGGTGAGGGCTGTCTGGGCTTTGAAGTTGGAGTTCTGGAGGTGTTGCTGAAATGCTAAGTAAAGGACTGTTCTATTTCTATATCGGATCGTGCCGGTTGGAACTGGAGCTGAGGCGGAATAATGAAGCCGAATGTAGAAGACGCGGAGGGGGGAGAGAAGGGAGGCTAAAAATAAAAAAAGAAGCCAATAAATGACGGATCCAAACCGCCGGCTGTCATTCCGCCTGCCCGCCATTCTTCCTCTACTTACTATGGACTAGGCATTCGTCTCAACTTCAACTACTGTACTTCCTTCTTCGAACTTCACTCGACGCGACTCTACTCTACCCCGAGCTCTTGTTTGTGGTTCACTGTGCACTACTGGAGACTACACCCTAGTCTTGCAGTGTCGAGTCCTCATCTCCTTTCCCTTCCTCTTCTTTGTCGATCCACCCGAGGTATTCGTTCTATTTGGTTGCCTCGAGTCGTTGTCTTCCGTTGTGCTTCTCCCCTCCCCTCCCCCCCACTCTCTCGAACTCTCCCTCCTTCCTCTGCTTCTCTCCTCCCCTCCATTCCTTCACCATCAATTTAATTTCCTCCGAGATACACACTCTCTCATATACTCTTTTCCGCCGAATTGTCTGTGGCGAGTCACAACCACACGTCTGGGTTTTGTTCTCATCCTTCCTCGAATCCCCCCCCTCCTCCTCTTTCCCCCCTGCTGTTCCTCCGCACTTCCTCCACTCCCTTCCGCCTGGAGCTCCGCCACAATCGTCACAGAGTCAATCGCCCTCCCCTGCCACCTCTATTATCCTATCCATTACCGGTCTACGAATTCTACTGCGCCCTCGCCTGGTCACCTCCAGATAGCATTATATCGCCTACCGCGATTGGCTGCCTATGAACTATACTCTCCCCCAGATTTTGTGTCGGATCGGTTGTCATGGAGGGAAACAGTCAGAAGAAGGACGGCACGGATAATGCCCACATTGTATGTCCCAGATACAGAGTTTCCAGCGGGGACCCAAGCTAAACTCTCCAAATCTTAATAGAGACCCGTATCCTCTCTGCTTTCGCATTTCGAGAACTTGTCGCATCGCCGAGCTCCGTCCGCCGCAACGAATGGTACACGCGACACCCCTTCCTTCCTAAGGACACTTGAACCGGGCGACGACGTCCGCTCGTCTTCGCGAGCCTCCCTCGATCTGTCTCGGTCACATACGCCATGGGATTCCACACCCGAGTTGAACAGAAGTCACGGGTCTTTGCACGGCAATGGCATCCCCCCGCGACCCGGACGCACCCCCGGGGTCTCCCCTGGGCGGCGGCAGGATAGGCCGATGTCTCTGAGCCTGCGTTCGTCGCCGCAGCTCCCTCCAACCTTGACAGTTGACTCTCCCCGATCTCCTCCACGGGGATTCGGACCGCTGGGTGAGCATGAAGATCATGTACAGCTCCCCCGCAGTCCTCTCAACGCGTCCAGGGAGTCGTTGCCTACAATCCCGCAGGGAGGCCGTCCGACAACCCCGGTCACGTCGCGCTTTCCTACAGAACCAAAGGTAGGGAGCCTCTCTCCGGGGCCTACGGGCTCCATGACCAGTGGCCGCGACAGCCCGCAGGACCACCATGGGAAGAGCGCATCCCTGCCACCTCCGGTGAACCGGGTGGACAAGCCCAAGATTCCCGTCAAACCGGCTGCATTGTCCCATCACGATGGTGGCGGTGGCTCACTCACGACTCCGCAGCCTGAGCGTGCGCCCGTGGACGATCGCATCTCGCCATTCAGCACCCCACCAAGTAGCCCTGAGAAAGACTCCCCGAAGCAGAATCCGGCTACTTCCAGCGGCATACAGCTTGCGCGCTCCCCCTCTCGCCGGTCACCCTCGCAGCCGCCAGCAGAACCCCCGCGTTATCGCTTTGAAGAACGAACCTCTACACCCCAGCCTCCTCTGTTCCGCGAGCCTTCATTCACACAACGGCACTCGGTTCCGGAACCTCCGCGCGAGACTAGACCATTATCAGTGCAGATTCCTCCAAGACCGTCGCTTCCAGCAGAACCTCTGTCAGCCGTGCCACTTTCTGCGAACCGGATACCGATGCATGACGGTTTCTCAGAACGTCCGGGACTGCCTCCACGGCAGCCGTCGATCGCGCGAAGAGGTGGTCCGTCACCCTCACGATTGTCCATTCAACGAGAAAGTTCGGTGCATTCAATCCCACCGCCGACGCCACAACGGGAATCGCGGTACTTGGACAGCCCGGCATTCTCCATGCCGCCTCCGACGCCTAACCGGGAATCGCGGCAATTGCGTCGGGACGAACTCCCCACTCCAACAACGGTCCAACGCCATCCGTCTATCGCTCGAGAGAACAGACCGGGGCCACCCCCGGCTGTCCCGGAAAGACCAGTGGTGGAGCGCCCTGTTGCAGACCGGCCTGTGGTGGAGCGGCAGTCAGTGCGTGTCCATAGTGAGGATGAACAGAACCTGGACAGCGTTCCCGTCGCGCGTAATGACTATCCGGACGCTTCGACTGCCAACAGACGCCCGCCACTTCTCAAGTCCGGCCCAATGGAAATCAACACACGGTATGACACACGACTCATGGATGTGTGTGGAAAGCACGTGTGCACCACCGGGTATATCACGCGAGTGTGGGATCTCACAACGGGCGAGCAACTCATGAGTCTCAGTCATGGGGAAACGGTCAAAAGCTTGTCGCTGGCCTTCAAGCCCGGTGTTGGACTGGAAGATGAAGGCCAGCGCGTATGGCTGGGTACGAATTCCGGTGAGTTACATGAGGTGGACATTGCAACCGGGTCTATCGTAGCATCGCGCTCGTATCCTTCAAGGAAAGAAGTCGTCAAGATTCTTCGTCACAAGAAGGAGATGTGGACCCTTGATGATGAGGGCCGGCTACTGGTTTGGCCACCGGATGAGAACGGCACTCCCAACCTTCAATACAGCTACCACAACCCTTACGATCGGGTTGCCCGCGGACATACTTTCTCCATGGTGGTGGGCGATAAGCTCTGGCTGGCTGCGGGTAAGGAGGTACATGTGTACCGGCCCAATGCGCGGGATGATATTTCGTTCAAAGTACTCAGCAGGCCGCTGGGCGCGCATCATACTGGCGATGTCACGTCTGGCGCATATACTACTCGAGACGGCGGCCTTGTCTATCTGGGTCATTCGGATGGCAAGGTGACAGTCTATTCTGCTAAAGACTACGCGTGTCTCGCCGTCGTGAACGTCAGTGTCTATAAGATCAACTGCCTGGGGATAGTAGGGGACTATCTGTGGGCAGCGTACAAAACCGGCATGATCTACGTCTACGATACGAGCACGAATCCCTGGACAGTTAAGAAGGACTGGCGTGCCCACGACAGCCCCGTGAGCGGGTTCTTGTTGGATTCGAGCAGTGTGTGGACGATGAACCGCCTCCAGGTGACTTCACTGGGTGACGATAATTGCATTCGTTTGTGGGATGGTATGTTGGAGGATGATTGGTTAGGTAAGTTGCGATTCGGGGAGTTGTTAACGGCCTTCATTGACCCGAGTATAGAAACCCGGATGCAAACCAGAGACGTCGAGTTTTGCAACTTTCGTGAGATCCATGCTGCAGTTATCACCTGGAATGCTGGTGCTTCGACACCTGGCAGTGTGCGGACGTCATCGTTCATCCAAGATGCCATTCACCCTGAGAATCCCCCGGAGATTATCGTCTTTGGTTTCCAGGAGCTGGTGGATCTGGAGAACAAGAAGATCACAGCTAGTATGTGCATTTCATCCTCGATTAGATTTCAATATGTTGTCTTGGCAGTACTGATTAAATTACAGAGAGCCTTCTTCTGGGCAGCAAGAAGAAAGACAGCGGGGACAAGGAACACATGAGTCGACAGTATCGGGTGTGGATGGAACATCTGACACGGTGCATCAACGATTGCATGCCACTGGAGGAATCGTATGTGCTGTTGCATAGTGCGAACATGATCGGACTCTTCACGTGTGTGTTCGTCAAACACAAGGAGCGGCAGAGAATCACGGATATCAGTGCATCTGAGATCAAGCGGGGTATGGGAGGGTTGCATGGCAACAAGGTAAGCCATTTCTGGACCTGCATCTAGGAGTATGACTAACGATGTAGGGTGCTCTTCTTTTCCGATTTACGCTGGACGACAGCTCCATCTGCTTGGTGAATTGCCATTTGGCAGCCGGCCAGACGCAGACAGCCCACCGTAACAACGACATAGCGGCGATCCTCGAGGCAGAGTCGCTTCCCGCCGAGCCTAGCCTCGCTGCACGCGCAAACCGCTACGTGAGTGGTGGTGACGGATCGATGATCATGGACCATGAGATCTGCATTCTTAATGGTGATCTGAACTACCGCATTGACGCTATTCCACGTAATGTGATCATCGACGCGGTCCGCAGCAACAACCTCACGAAGCTCCTCGAGCGCGACCAGCTGCTGGCTTCGCGGCGCAAGAACCCTGGCTTCCGCCTTCGGTCCTTCAACGAGTCCCCCATTACCTTCGCCCCGACGTACAAGTACGACGTCGGCACAGACGAGTACGACTCGAGTGACAAGAAGCGTGCCCCAGCCTGGTGCGATCGGGTTCTGTACCGCGGCCTCGGCCGGGTTCGACAGCTCGAGTACCGTCGTCACGAGGTGCGGGCGTCCGACCATCGGCCCGTCAGCGCCGCTTTCAAATTCCGCATCAAGACCGTGTTGCCGTCGGAGCGGGAGGCCGTCTGGGAAGCCTGCCAGCAGGAGTTCTCCCGCGAGAAACGTCGACTGGCCTCCGAGGCGAGGTAGGATTGGTCCGTCCCGTATTTTGTGGTGTCATGACTAATGCATGCTTCAACAGTATCGAATATCTCATCACCGTCCTGGGCACCGAAACACAACAAGCTCGGTCTCTGATCATGGGTAAGGGGAATTAGACTTAGGTTCCTTTGGGGTGTTATCTGAGTTCATCGGGGAGGTTTAACTTCAGATCCTGCCCTCCGCGACCCAGCGCAGCACTACAACAAGGCATAGCGTTACACCGCCGAAGTGTGTATATGACTAATGATTCACGATAGACATGTATTTATCATGATAGGAGAAAGAGGGGGTCTCTTAGATGGAGCTATGGTATGGTCGATGTGGAAGAGATACTTAATTAATATTGGGAGTGCCAGGGATGGTTGGGTGTTAGCCAAGGAAAGATACAGAGAAGGGTGGATGGGATGTATATACTATTACTATTTATTTATTGTTGATCTTTTTCTTCTTTTGTGAGGGCAGAGCAGTTGGTCCACACATAGACAAAGATGGGCTATGGAGTATTCAACTTGTCTATTCTATTGTCGACTGCATCGTTGACTAGAAGGTCAATCTCACAGCCTGAGCTCTTCAGTCTTGAGTTCTTAAGTTGATAGCTCATGTGAGCGGAGCTTAGTCTAAGATACTCAGCTGCGATAATTCTGTATACTCTCATTGAGTCTGATATCATCGCTGCTGCAATGCATTACTTCATTTACAGTCAACTCATCAAGCCTCCGATCTTCAACTGAGCAACTGGGCTCGCAGCATCTCAGGAGATCGGACTAGGTTGAGGACAGACCTGAATCATGGAAGATATACCATGGGTAAAGAAAGCTAATTCAGCCACAGTGTAATTGACGATCAGACTCCGGAAGATATCAGAGTCGGAGAAACCCCCAGGACTTAGCATCTTAGTCTTCCGACAATAGTCCACAGCATCTGCTCCTGGAGACAGCTCCCAGCAACAGCTAACAGCACCAGCCAACAACTACAACAGCTTCAGCAACCACCACCAACAACAATAACCCCATGGCCAGCCAAGCACAGCAACACCAAGCCGACAACATTGTGTCCATTGCGAACCGCATCATGGCGCTAGCCCAGCGACACGCAGTCACCGCGAAGGAGGGCGGGGATACCATCACCGCGCGGGCAGCCCTGAGCGCTGTGTGCGAGGAACTGGCCGTGTCCACCACGGCCCCGGAGGTGTGGCTGTCGCAGACTGCGGCGTCGTCGCACACGGCCGCCGCGCTGGCGATCCTGCTGGAGACGGACATCATCACGCGGCTGTGCGAGACGGCCGAGCCGGTGCCTGCTTCGACTCTTCTCAAGGGCGTTGGCGACGACGCCACCCCTGCGCTGTTTCGTGAGTTGACACCGGTCCTTGACCATTCCCCACTAACAGAATCTACAGGCTGCGCCCTGAGACAATGCGCCGCCAGCCGTCTCCTGAACGAGCCTGTCCCCGGCCATTTCAAGCGCAACCCGCGCACCGAGCTTCTGCATGATCCCTACATCCGGGACTGGGTTCATTACCTGTCAGTCTCCTCGTCGATGTTCGTGGTATACTAGCCCGGGAGGTTCTAATGTACCAGAATGGAACAGGGTGGACGATGGTCTGCGCTGCGCATCGTGGTTATCGCGGTATGCCGCGCAGAACAACTACTACATCCCAGACGAGCGCCACCGAAGCGCCTTCGAACTGGCCTTTGACAGTAAGCTTCGCCAACTCTCCACACCTTGCATAACCTTTCAAGCGACTGGCTAAGCAACGACTAACCCTGCCACAAAACCCAGCAAACACCCCCTGCTACGACTACTACCACCAAATCGACCCGCGGCGCGGCCAGCGCTTCGACACCGCAATGGAGGGCTACTTCCGCCTGAACGCGCCCATGCCCCTCGAAGAGATCATCGACCTCCGCGCCCTCTGCCCGGAAGATGCGCTGGTCGTCGACGTCGGCGGCGGTCGCGGCCATCACTCCCTGCGTCTGGCGCAGAGATACCCGCGCATGCGCTTCATCGTGCAGGACTACGCGGACGAAGCCCCGAGCAGCGCGTCCAGCATCGCTCCCGACCCCCGACTCCGTGAGCGGGTCAGCTGGACCAAGCATGATTTCTTCGGTGAGCAGCCCGTCCGTGGGGCGGCGGTGTATCTGCTCAGCCATATCCTGATGGATCATCCTGATCGGTGGGCTTTCCTGGTATTCTTCTTCTTGGGATATGGGACTTTGCTTAAACACTGGGTTGGTACAGGGAGAGCCAGAAGATCCTGGCGCATCTGGCTGAGGCCATGGACGCCCGCTCGACCCTGCTGGTGGACGACTTCTTCGACCCCGGGGATGGGCGATTCGGCTCGCCGCAGGGGAGTTGTCTGGCGTTGCATCTGATCGCGTGCCGGGGGACGGCGTTCCGGACGGTGGAGCAGTGGATGGCGCTGTTTGCGCGGGTGCCGGTGTTGAGCGTGGGGGAGTGTCGGGTGCTGGAGCATGGGCGGGTGGTGATGAGTGTGTCCAGGGTCGAGGAAGTATAGTCTTGGGGGAATGACTGAGACAAGGACGAGGAGTCGGTCATGTTAATTGGTGATTAATGCTGCATATGCTTATGATACTGAGTATTTGAAAGCCGGGAGGGAATGCAAGTCAAGGTCCAGCTAGAAACTATCCCGACTTCATGGTTTCTTGCCTATGGCCTGCGGATAGCTCTTGCATCGGTTCCACTAAGGGACTGGGAAGCACCGGGGCTATGGATGCTTAGAGTATATCAGCAGTTGTGTCACAGTGCTTTCCGTATACCCCCGTCTCCGAAAAGAGCAATCCCCGGAAGTCAAGTCATGCCGTCATCGTCCCGGGAAAGCGGGCCTCCCCACTGCACCCCCGCATCAGCCCTATGACTTTTACATCAGCCCTACGAACATACCTCCCCGTACTCGTATAAAACAGCTTCTCTTCTGACGTAGCCACGCGCAACCCCCAATTCATCCCTCCTCCTGCACAGAACCCAGTCCACCCATCCACCCAACTGCCCCCAAACACCCCCCATCCCACACCAAATTCCCAACCACAGCCCCTCCCCTCTCCCCTCTAACCACCCACACGAACAAAAATGACCACCAACCCCCTCGCCTACCGCACCGCCCAAGCCATCGGCTTCACCGGCGCCGCCTGGCTATCCGGTGCGTTCATCCCAATCCCAATCCCAATCCCAATCCCAATCCCAATCCCAATCCCACCCTTCCATTCTTCCCCCATATACCCCGATGAACCAACCCATCCTGATGGACTAACGAATCCCACAAAAAGGCACCATCGCCTCCCAGAGCCTAATCACCATCCCCGCCTTGCTAGCACGCGACCCGGCCCCGGCCCCGGCCCCGGACTCAACCCACCAGACAACAGCCCTGGAGATCTGGAAACGAATCTCCACCGCCAGCACAGCCCAAACCGCACCGGTCGCCGCGGGCACGGCCGCCGCGTTCGTTTATCTCGCTTGGACGGTGGCGCGGGCCGTCGAGCCGCCGCAGCTGCTGCAGTTCCTCAGTAGCAGCAGTAGTAGTCGCTATGCCAGTCCCGGGCGGTGGTATGCGGCGGCGGCGGTGTTGACGGTGGGGGTGGTGCCGTACACGGCGGTGGTAATGCGGGGGACGGACTATCAGATTCTGCGGGTGGAGGAGGCGCAGGCGGAGGCGGAAAAGACCAGCGGGTTGCTGAAGCGGTGGGCGGTGCTGAATGCGGTGCGGAGTCTGTTGCCGCTTGTTGGCGGGTTGTGCGGGTTTGCGGCCGCGGTGATTTGATTGTACTGTACGATACTAGTAGTTACTTGATGGTGTAGATGGTGTAGATGGTGTTGGGGATAGTGCTTAATCTTGATTCATGGATTTCGGGCAAGATACTCAATTCTGGATTGAGAGAATGGAAAGACAAAAGCTTCAACTCTTCTTCTACTTCTACATTAGGCAATGCAATCCCTCGCAGTAAAAAGAAAAACATCAGAGCAGTATCTTTCAAGGTTCCCACAAGCAGCTGCCCGCATCTAATACCGTCGCCAGGTAGAAAGCAACAATCAGCAACAAATCCAACACCCGCAACTCCAACCAACCCTACTTCTTCCCCACCTGCGCAGCCCGTTCAGCACCCCTCTCCCCAGCAGCGTCCACCCGAAAGATCCCCCCAACCGATTCACCAAACCTCAACGCGGTGTGATCCTCCCCCCTCCTAAGCCTCCGCACCACGTGCGGACACGTCGAAAAGTGCCGTGGAAGATCCGGGACCCGGAACGCGCGATCCACCCCCTTGCTCCCCGGGGACGCCGCGTTCCAGGCACACCCCCGGCTCGGCGATGCGGGCGTGCGGGTCCCAGCACGGAAACGCCACGGTCGACCGCAGCCGCGCATGGCACGTGTCGAGCCGCAGCCAATATGTCCATTCCTGGAGTGCGGATCCGATCTCGCGACTACTACTGCCGAACCGGCGCCGCCAGTGCTGTCGAAACAGGAGTCCAGCTTGCGTCACGTCAATCAGCCGGTCGGAACTGTATTGCCCTTCGAGAAGATCAACACAAGAGACGACCGGGAGATCCCACCGGTCTTCCGGCAAACCGTAACAGACAGACACATCATGGAGGGTGGCGACGCGGTATCGACTATGTCTCAGAACGCACTGCAGACACACCCGCGAGAGAGTGGGGATATATAGAAAGGGGCCAAAGTCAGGGCAGGTTTGGCACCGCGGGTGGCAGAATGCGCGATACAGTTGGTGGAGAGGGAAATTATGGGTGCATCGGGCAATATCAAGGTTCATGAGGGTCTCCGCTGCATGGGTTCGGAGCATGCGGTATTCGTAGAGAGAGTCGACCTGCCGGTGCATCGGGGTGTTGACTGGCCGTAGGTTACCTAGGGTAATCATATCAAGGTGGAAGAAGATCATGCACACTATCTCCAGCGGTAGTAAGGGCCATAGCGGCCGGGAGGGCGGCGCCTGCCAACAAGGTGGCTGGCAACGCGGTTGTTGTTTCGGACATTTTGGGTTCGATAGAGCCTTATGAGTTCCCTAAGACGAGCGCGTGACATAGAGGAGTGGAGGTGAAGAAGATTCTTCCCCGGCCGGTCAAAACGGTACGCCAATCCGGAGGCCATGATTTGATCCGATTAGTTTCGGTTATTAGAAGCAGTTGCATGTCGGCAGGGGGCAGCTCGTGGTTTTATCGTGATGATTGTTGTCATGATGTTGTAGTGAGATCATGCGACGGGGGTTCCGGGACCATTGGCCGATGCCATCCACTTCGTCCTCCTCTGGGTCCGACGCAGTGGCTGAAGCAGCCGTGGTCCTTTTGGACCTCGAGAATCTGCACGAGGCCCGCAGCGGGAGTGGTGTGACTTTTACTCGTTAGGTTCTGTGCTCGTGATGTTGGAGGTACAAATTTAGTCTCTTTGCATGGACACCGGCCCTCGAGCAAGCACTTATCGAGGGTGAATCGAAGAATGCAAAGCAAATCTCCTTCCAAGAAGGCACGAGCAAGCGAATCACCCATTCCTCGTCGAATCTAAAATGGACCATTTATCACAAGCAGCGGCCACTTCCCGCGCCGTCACCCCGTCCTTGTTCTCTCGAGTCGGATCCAGCCCCAGCTCCACCAGCAACGCGAAAAGATTCCCCTCGTCGTCGTACGGCACATCAATCGGGTCATCTTTGCGGCGCGCAACTACATGCAGTAAGGTATCCCCGTTGCCGTTCACCGCATGGACTTCATGCTCCGCGAACATACGCCGCAAGTCAGACTCCTCCGGCGGAGACGCCGTATACTCATCCATATGGTACACCCGCAGCTGGTTGACATAGGCAAAGATGGGCGTGTTGCCTTGATTGTCGCGGGCTTCGCGACTGCAGCCCTTGTCAAGAAACAGCTGATACAGCGCCAAGCACGCCGGGTACAGGCCTTCGTCCTTTTCATCAGAACCCGTGGAAATGGCGCGTTCTTCTATGTCCTTAGCGGTGCATTGCATCAGGACCGGGGCTATAAAGTGCGGGGCGGTTCTGCCGTCCGGGAAGCGCTCCGTTGCGTTTGCTCCCGCCGCCCCGAGGCGTTCCAGGTTCCATTTGAACCGCAGAGAAGGCATGGCATCCTCGTCTACTGAGCGATCGATGGACTCGGCAAGTGCTACATGCAGCGGGCTTAGTCCATGTGTGTTATGCGCGACCGTCGAGGCTCCTCTGGCAAGAAGCTCCTCGACGACCTCGCGCAAATTGTTCAGCACGGCATAGTGCAGGGCCGTGGAGCCGGGATTGTCGGCGACGTGGATGTTCGCCCCAGCCCGGATGAGCGCGAGTGCGGTGTGTTCACGATCATCCTCATGGAGGCCTGCATTCTTGCTTTTCCCGCGTTGTTCGCAGGCTCGCAATAGCGGCGTCTGACCCTGGGCATCTCTTCTTTCGAGGTCGTGGCCTGCGGCAATGATGGGTGTCACGAGTCCGTGCCGGGTACAGATCTCGTGCAGTGCAGATGTCCCTTTCTCCAGGGCCTGATGCGAATCCGCGCCATGAGCAAGCAGAACAGCCATGAGTTCTTCACTCTTCCCCGATGCTTCTATGAGCGGGGTTTCAGTTCGCTCTCCCCGGTGTTCATCCTTCGATGTATACACGACATTCGGGTCGACACCCGCCTTCAGAAGCAGCTTTACCGCAGAGACACTCCCTGCTTGTATCGCGCAAGCTATTGCCGGGTGGTTCCCAACGGATGGGTCCGCCCCGTGGTCTAGTAGTCTTTGAATGACCGATAGGTCCCGATTAGCGCGGAGAGCGGCGTGAAGTGGCAGACCTTCATTAACATCTGCTTCATACCTGAGCAGGACATCAAGCCCCTCATCATACCACAAGCTGAGGAAACGGGCGCAGTTCTCTTCTTCGTCAAATGCTATTTGATAAGGCGTTTTGTCTTTGTGCAAGAGCCCGGTGTCGGCGCCTGCCTCCAGCAGTATGCTCAGCGCCCGGGGATGCCACCAAGACCTGCCGGCAGCAAGTTTGCGCATCACACGGGAACAGTCAATCTGGAGTTTGGGCCCCGCTTAAGTCGGAGTCCCAGTCAAGACCGACTGTATATCTCGTCTAAGAGAAATCTCCCAATCAGCAATCCTATACCCTGCATGGCAATCATACCTGCAAAGAGAATATAGACAACCTGCGAGTGAGGAACGAACTCCCAGTGATCAACTAGAGTAAACATTCAGAAATCCGAATCAATCCCCTCTCGCACAACAGACCAACAGACTCCGTCTCCCCGAGAACCCTAAGCAAGCAAGCAAGCAAATAACACCGATCAACCAAAGAACATACGAGCATGACCAAAAAAAAGGAAAAAAGAAAAAACACTACAACTCCAACAATGCCCTGTATATCATCGATTCAAAAACACCATCAGAAGCAATTTCCATTCAAATTATCTCACCGAGCCCAAAAATCTCAGTTCTCCCTCTCACTATACGGCGGCGGCGGCGTCCCCGCCAACTCCCTCTCCCCATCTGGCACCGCAGCCCCGAGCCCCCCAGCCGACTCACCCGTCAACTGCCTCGCGCGGCGCACCGAGCGCTCGAACGCGCCCGCCCCATTCAGCTGATCGTAGATCCAGCCCTGGGCGGTGGTCCGGGTGAAGGCGACGCCGAGGACGCGGCCGCAGAAGGTAGAGATGGACAGCCAGGAGCGGACGTCGGCGAGGTCGGTGGTGAGGATGGGGGCGGCCATGACCAGGCGGGCGAGGTGGGAGTCGAAGGGCCGGGAGCTGGGGCTGGTCAGGCGGGCGTTGTTGTAGAGCACGTGCAGGAGGAGGACCTTGTCGATGTCGTGGATGTCGACCGCGCCGAGGTCGGTGTCGCCGGGGGCGGGGCGGGGGAGGCCATGGAAGGTTGAATCGTGGTGGTCCATTGGGCTTCAGCTGTTTGATTAAGTCGGGTTGCGATGTACAAGTCCGATCTCTCCAGCTGGAATGTACTGCACGGATCAAACGGTGATGTTGACATCGGCCCTCAAATGCCAACCATCGAGCTGATTTATATACCACATCCCAGCCGAATCCCCCCCGAACGCAACAAAGACCCTCAATTCTGCCGTCTCATTGAGTCCCCAAAGTCAACCGGGAAGCCCCAGCTCACCACAATCAACCCACTCCCACAAAGATAACCCATACAAAGGACCCCGATCTTGTAGTCGAAACCCTCCAGCCCTAACTACCCCCCACCCCGATCCTATAAAACCACCAACCACCACCTGGCAACCAATGACCCAACCCCAACCCCGACCCCAACCCCAAACCAACCCACTGGACACCCCACCCCAAACCCTAACCCCGAGACACCGCAAGCATGCCCCCCCTAAAGCTCCTCGCGCACCCCAACCGCAGCCGAACCCACCCCCACCGCCACCGCAACCCCCCTCCCTCACCCCCATTCACCTACACCCCAGGAGACCCGATCACCCTCCCATGGCTACACCGCCTAACCGCCCACCTCGAGCACAACGACATCCCAGTAGCGCTCCTAAACCGGGCGCTCTTCCGCACCCTCAACTGGCAGGACGACCTCTTCATGGACCCGTGCATCGACCTCGACATCGCAGGCCACCAACTGGGCGGGGCGATCGCCGTCCTGCAGGCCGCGGGGCTGGACGACACGCCGCGCAGCGTGACCGACACGCTGGGGTGCATGCACCAGTGGCCCTCGGGGCCGAGCCGCTACTGGCCGGCGGACCGGGACTACCGCCTCGAAGACGCATGGTGGGCGCCGGCGCACGTCTTCTTCGTGGCGCGGGGCGCCTACATCGCCGCCCGCGACCATCGGCTCTGGAGTCGGGGCCCGGAACCCGACTCCCCGGACAGCGTGGAGCACCCGGGCCATGTGGTCATGGTGCGGCTGTTCGCGCACGAGCAGTATTTCTGGCACATGCCGTGTCCGCGCTTCCGGCATGATCCGCGCGAGGATGGGGAGTGGGAGTGTTATACCATGGTGGGTGCGGAGGTGGACGACCCAGATACCCGAGACGGGAGGGGGAGCGGATTGCCGCGGATGGTGCGCGTGATGAAGCCGGCGCAGTACCTCGAGGGGATGCTGCTGCTGCACTGGCGCGATCGGAGCCGGGAGGATGACACCCGCGGCACCTCCTGGGAGCTGACCTTCGACCTGCTCTGCGATCTGGCCCGACGCGCCAGGCCCGCCTGCCTGCGGACCCGCGCCTTCCGGCCGGAGATGCGCCGGCTGCTGCAGGACGAGATCCTGGCCCCCGACTGCAAGACGGACCGCGAGTACGACTGGCTGTTCACGCGGCGCCGCATCAACCGCGCCCAGCTGATGTACCAGCAGTTGAAGGGCACCCCCATGATGCCCCAGTCCCCGTTCCCGGTCCTGCCCAGCGGCTTGCCGGAGTCGCTGCACGCAACGTACACCGCCCTCATGAGTGGGATGGAGCTGTACGATTCCGATTTGCCGTGGGTGGATCGGCGCCCAGGCCTGTTCCGTCTCGATGAAGACGGGAACAGAATTGAGGGCTTGGATGCCGAGGATGATGAGGAGACCGATTCTGACTCCGAGGAATCCCAGGATCCCAACGAGGAGGGCTATGATGATGAAATCGAAGTGTATGACCCCAGCGAGCCAGAATCGTAGATTATCGTAGTATTACGGTGGGTTGAACGTAGGGGAAACGGTTTCGTGAACTCCATTATCGCTTCGTAGAGCTATTGAACAAATGATTATTGATCTATATCGAAAAAGCCCCTTTGCAACAAATACAATAATTTTTCATGAACGCTAACAAGCAGATAATCAAAGTAGATGCAGTTTCTCAGGTTTAACCCTTGACTAAGACAGCAATTACCTCAAGAACTCCATCTTCTTCCAACTTTGAAGATACCGTCTCACCACCTCAACATCCACAGGCCCAACCCCCGCTAGCGTGGTTGAATGCTCACGACACTGCACTGTCTCTAACCTCAGTCCCCCGCACGACATGCGACGGAAGTGTTCCTCCAGAAAGTCGACCATCAAAGAGGCAGGGTTCTCGTCACTTGGTCCAGCGAATGTTCGGACTCGACGGATCCATTCCTCGAAGGGCACGGTAGTGATGGTTCCATTCTTGTTGCTCGAGTCTTGCCCCTCCTTCAGGCGGGCTGGTGCCGGGTTGAACCGCAGACCTTCAGCCAGCAAGGGGATCATATCTTCCCATGGTTGTCCGATAGGATTCTCAATGTGATAGACCGGATATCTGTTTGCCATCTCCACTCCTTCGCCCGAAAGGAGTAGATCCCCCAATGTGGCCGCCACGTCCTCAACAGGCGTCCACGAGACAGTTCCCCTCAAATTCGGGAGACACCTGAGCGTCTGTGAGGATTTAAGAAGAAACGGCAGATGCTCCTGCGGATTCCAGTATCCACTGACTCGTGACCCTGCTATTTGCCCTAAACGGACGGCCATGGGCTGGAACATGTCCGGGTAGCGGTGAAGGGTTTCGTCCAGCATGCGCTCGCAGATGAACTTGGCGAGGCCGTACCCATTGGTCAGAACGGATTGTAGAGATAGTCGCGACTCAGGTACGTTAGGATTGCCGGTGTGGATAGGATAATGACCGACCGTGGCAATTGAGGAGATCAACTGAAAGTGGATCCTGGAGCCACTGTAGGCATAACTAGCGAAGTCAAGAAGGTTGCGCATGACCTGAAACTGCGGCTCAAAGCCCTCGACAGGCCGTTTGCCGCTCATGGGCCAAGCATTGTGGATGATGTGCGTGGTTTTCAAAGCGAGCTGAGCATACTCCGCTTGGGATAGACCGAGGAAGGGCTTGGATGTATCAGTTTCGAGGATCCGAAGTTTTGAAAGCACCTGGGAGCCTATTGTGATCCCCCGCGTGGATAGGGCTTCGTGCTGTCGCTCTGATGGTGTCTTGCTGTTGCGGGCGGGACGATTAAGGCAAATCACAGTAGCAACGTTGGATTGATGCGCGAGATGGCTAACCAGCTGACAGCCTAGACCCCCGGTGGCCCCAGTCACAAGTATCACCGCCCCAGCTGAAGGTTTCTTCCTTGATGCCTCGGGGACTTTAGCGCTGAAGCCCTGAGTATATTGCCGAATGTAACCATCCACTACTGCCTGTCGAGTCACCAAGTCGGCGTCAGCAGGTGGGCTTGGAGATTGCGGCAAGGAACAGTGGCGATGCTCATACCTTGGCCCTTGGGATGCCATTGCGACCACGATGCGCTCGATCCCGACTTCGGGGCATTTTCCATTCGTCCAGTTCACCTGGCCATATCCCGCAGCGTGGAGGGCAGTCTCCCATCGTACAGGATCGGCTACCGCGTGGCGCCGACCGTCATCAAACAGCCACCATCCTTCCAACAGACCAAAGATCATGTCGATCCAAACAAGAGGTTGTGTCATCTCCAGCATCATAAGAAAGCCATCGGGCCGCAGGGCCTTCCGAATGTTCTTGGTCGACTCCATCAAGCTGCGAGTAGCATGAACAGCGTTGCTCGCGATGATGATATGCTGACTGCTTAGCAGATCATCGGCGGGCGCTTTTTCAATATCATGCACCCGGAACTTCATGAACGGATGTTGCTTGAATTCCTTGCGAGCGCTGGCAAGAAACAATGGCGAGATGTCGG